GAATTCAAGGCCATCTCAACTTCATTTTGAACCCACCGCAAGCATTTGGAAGAACTGCGAACAAATGCTGTTCTGTTCCATTATCATCATATTCCTCAATCAAGCAGACCCCAGGAATACGGATTTTTTAACTGTAGCAGCACGCATGTTACGATTATAGCACTCTTCGTGCCTCTCCTCGAAAAGAGCCCACTGGCTTCTATCAGGAAACTCCAAGATCCAATCCTTTCCTCCTTTCCACATAATAGCTTGCGCATATCGATTTGTAGAGCCAGGCTGCAAAAATTGATGTGCCTTTTTATGTATATTTTGTGGTCCCTGATATATTTTTACCGCAAGCTTCCATTCGTTATTTTCAAAAAGCCCCAGTACAATCTGCGCCCCAGATTCTCTCCACCCTTTGCCACCAAAAGTAATTAACACATTTGCATCACAGGATAAAAAATAAAAAATAAAAAAAATAAAAATAAGAGACAGAAATGCCAGCGATCACATTCCTTCTTGCTGGGATGCTTATTTAAAGATGAAGGGATCAAAGGTCCCTGCCAGTGAGACGGCCATTTGATATCACTCTCCCCTAAAAGGCAACCTCATAGAGAGTCAGAGGTGAACACAGTTGTCTTACGCCTTCCTTAATAGGCATTTGACACAGTAATCGGATCACATTTAATAGAAGTTGGATACACTTTTCAAGTTTTCATACATTTTCGAGTTCTTGACAGCATTAGCATTTAGCATGACACTACAAAGGAACAACCTCAAATCGCACAACCATGTAACCCGGGGCACATCAGATTCCCCATTTCCAATTGTATGGATGACCTCAGCTGCTTGTGCCACACATTTTTGTTTCCTCATACTTATGAACAAGCACATTAAACTTCAAGAGGTTAAACACACAATGCACATCCTGAAACTTAACCCCAACTGTATACCCCTTCCACCTCAGCACATAGTCCTTCTTCTTTTTTTTTGGTACAGACATAGTCCTTCTTCTTAGTATAACGAGTTGCAGGAAATTGACAAAAATCAAATTAACCTGATACATGATCTCATCAATTCTCTTCTTCAAGAGCTTAATTAAAGTTATCAGGAGATAAAGGAGCAGACTGGCGAAGGAAGATGTTCGTGGTCTTCTTTGTGCGGTCTTCCTGGTTTTGCTATGACAGTTTCTTCGATTATCTCCTCCCATGGATTCGTCAACCCACACAGAAACGCAGTCTGCTCGGTGACCATTTCGGAGAAGAAAGAGACCCTTCTGTTCTGCTCCATTTCTCCAGTCAATCTGGAACGTAGATGGTTAGGTGGGCCACCTTGTGATGATGTGGATAGTGCAGAACGCGAATGCTCAATGCTCACCATCCCCTATATTGGGCTTCATTTTTTACGTCCCAATTCAGTTTGGGCCAATTGACGGTCCCTAATCTCATTTCTTAATAAAGGTCCAGTGGTCCACGACTTATTGCAAACGGCCCACTTAAAACTTTACTTCCTTTTTTTGAAGTACAAGTTACATTTATTCAACGTGCAATAATACGGACACCACCATGCGACTAATTGGGTTACGCTCTTTAATGAAAAAGAATGGTGCTCACCTTCATCTGGGGATTGAATCTCTAATTTTTAATAAATAATTAATTTAACTTGTTAATTATTATCTTTATTAAAAAAAATGTAGTAATACATTTTTTTTTTATATATATGATGATACACTTTTTTTTTGTAGTAATACATATTTTTATATTTCAGAAATGTATCATATATTTGGACAATATAAAATTACATAATTTAAATTATGAGACATGAGCAGACAACAAAACCACAAATTCTTTATATTTCTACATACAAATTGTTAGTGAATAAAAAAAAAAAAAGAAAAGAACCCCAAGATTTTTTTAACGTGGTAAAACCCCAAATTGGGGAAACATCCACGGCCAACCAGTGGCGTAAACAATTTACTATGATAAAAAAGGATTACAATCCAATTATACATTACATCCATAGCCTGAAAAAAAAAATACAAGAGAAGATATGACAATTCAATTATACATTACGTCTGTCGCTTAAACTTTTTTTAAAAAAAATCCATGCACATATGTACATATACATACACCTAGACATGTAGTACAGCCACACACACATAAATAAAATAAGAGACATGTGGACGCTGTACATCACCCATTCCAGCGCATCTTCTTGCGTCACATATTCTGAAAAAGAAAA